GCAAGGGATACTGATCTTGTTTGATTATAGCATTCAGCTTATGAAAGTCAACACAGAATCATAGCTTCTTCCCACTACAGGCAATCAGAATTGAAGAGGTGTAGGAGGCTGAACTTGAGGTGATGAAATTCTTTGCTAGGTTGACTTCAAAATAGATCTTCACTGCCTCTAGTTCCTCTAGATTCATCTTATATAGAGGTGCATGTCCAATGCTCTGAGTGAGGTCAACATCAGGCTGGAGCTCTATTTTAAAATCAACATTCTTCCATAGGAGAGGCAGTTCATCTGATGCTTTCTTTGAGAAGCAGTTCTCTCAGTCTTTCAATCATTCTGGTAAGTTGCTGATCAGCTTCTCATCAGACTCATCCTCAGCTCTCACTAAACCTCACTTCTTCTCAAGCTGTTTATCAATTTCATACAGACTGATTATGAAGACTGTTGACTTCTTGTTCTTCATATAATCATGAAAGGAAGCAGTCTCAATGAAGTTTATATTCATCATCTGTGGTGCTGTCTCCTCTCAGGTCAGTCTCTGCCTCATCTCAAGCATCATGACTGAGCTGATCCCTTTCAATTTGTGGAGCTGAGTCTGATGCTCCTGTCTGATCTTCTCATTCAGCTTGATCTCTCTTCATTTCACATCTGCCTGATGCTCAGGCTTGAAGTCTGAGTGCTTCAGTACTGATCAGAGTACTATCTTCAACATTGACTCTGCCACCTGTTCAGGGATAGACTGTTCACTCAGCCAAATCAGATGTTGATTTTTAACATCAAGTCATATATTCTGTGCTGCCAACCACTTCTGTCCCAGGATGACAGGGTGCTGGTCTAGATCTGTTATCAGCAGAGAGACATTCTGAAATCTCTGGTCATTCACCCAGAGGTTTAGAGTCAATGTGTGATCTATCACCCTGCTGAGAGTGTCATTGTATCCCTTCATGCAGCATTTGAATGAAAGTTCTTGAAACTTTCTATCAAAGAATCTTGTCAATTCTATGACATATTGAGTATCAATAAAATTCACTTCATTTGCTTCAGTATCAGCAAGAGAATTTGTAGAAGTAGCAATTTCATTGTAGGCTAATTTGATTGATACATTAAAGCTTTTCTCCTCAATCAAGTCCTTCATCTCAAACCTCTCACAGACTATTGAACTATCTGAGATGAAGTCTTCTCTCAGACTCACTCTTTTCCTGAGTCTGCTGAAGACTCAGAGGCATCATTCTCTGTGAGCTCAGTAATCATCTGCTGGAACTTCTGCTTTGCAGAGCAGTTCCTGACAATGTGATCTTTTTCCTTACAGTAGTAGCACTGAATATTCAGACAAGAGCTCAAGATCTTCTTCACAGTAGAGGATTTTGTTGTAGAGATGCTGAGAGGTGTTTGACTGTTGACAGTCCACAGAGTGTTCTGCTTGAAGATATTAGACTCATTTTTCTGTGAGCTCTTTGATTTCTGAGTGACATTGATTGTCTGGAGGATGTGAGCTGCCTGCACACAGATTTTCTGAAACTCAGCATATGTATCAGTGATCACATTGACTACTGCTATTATCTTCTGAAGATCAAAGAACAGCTTGTCATTGAAGTCTGTCTTATAGTCCCCCCTTGACAATCTTGACCTCCTCTGTCAGATGTAAAAATTTTGTGACAAATTCATGATAATTATCCCTATTGTGCATAATCAGCTTGTGATAATCACTCTTGACATTTTGCAGCTTGTTAGCATTCTCATATATTGACTTGAGATGCTCAAACATCTCTTCTGCAGTTTGATATCACTCAGGGTGATCCTCTTTCATACAGGGTGCAATGTGACATGCTGTGTTCCCATCAGTCTGGTTTTCAATGTACACTATTCTCATGTGTTCAGTAGGATAGTGGTCAGCATTCTCTCAGAGCTTGTTCTTCATCTGAGAGAGTCAGTGTTCAAATTTTGACTTCTTGTCATCAGTGAGGTGTTTCAGGTCATCAATCTTGACAGATCTTCTGGCAGTCTCAGAGAGAGTGACATCTTGACTTGCTGCTTGATTGCTGACTGTCATATGAATCAGAGTGTGACTAAGTTCATCACATTCAGCAATTAGCTCATCAATCTGACTTTGCTTGACAGTGATCTGATTAGTAGTGTTGTTCCATTCCATTCTCAGACATGTGACTGTATTTCTTAATGTTTTTTCATTGTCAAAGATGCCATCAAAGATCACCATCAACTCATTATAAACATGGTCACTATCTGAGTGGATTACCTCTCTGAATTCCTCAATTGAGATGTATGATTGATCAGTTGATCTTGTTAGGAGGTATCATCAGTCCTTTCAGCCCCTTTCAGGGGATTGGGAGCCTGTGGTGGTCATCTGATGTTGGATTGAGCTGTTGTCTTCAACAGTGCTGTTGTCTTAGCAGTTGATCTGATGTGTTGTCAGGCTCTGAACTAGCAGGTTCTAATTCAACTGAGGCACTCAAGTTTTCTGCTGAAATCTGAGTGAGAAGGTAGAAGAGAAGCTTAGTATTGTGTTAGAGAGTGAATGTGAGCTGCATAAGAAGAAAGACTCTCTGCATTGCTAACTGCTATATAATGAAATACTAAGCTTGATGAGATGAAAGGGGGTGCTGGGGGCCTGTGTGGATTATAATCACCTGCATGGTTGTGTAGTCGCGTGATATGGATTAGGCCTAATCGAGCGACCTGCATGGTCGCATGGTCACATGATGTGGGTTAGGCCTAATCGGGCGCCGAGCTTAATCCGACGTCGAGTCTAACCGGGCACCGGCCTTCGGTCGGGCTCGGTCGGACGCTGAGCCTAACACAGTTAAAAATTTTAAAAACATAAAATTTAAAATGATTAAATAAATCTTGATTTAATTTAAAAATATAGAAAAAAAAAGTTAAAGCAAAAATATTCAAATTTATATATCATGAATATCAGCTTATATATATTTCACACTTTGAATATATAGATTTAACAGTAAACAGTGATACTGAAACTTAAAAATAATATCAAAAATTGTTTTTTGATTTTATATTAAAAAAAATCAAAGATTTATATCTTAATTAATGAATCGAGCTATGAGAAAAGAAAAAAAGTTCAATATGCAAGATGAAATGAAATTAATATAAAAGTTTTCAATAAAAGAAAATTTTTTATAATACAATTGAAACTTAATTGTAATTAATTTAAAATTTATTTAAGATGAATTAAAGACTTTATAAGCTCAGATAAATATAATTTCTGTGATTTTATTAAAAATTTCAATCATATCTTAATGAACTATTTATTGCATATTGATATTAAAAAGAAACTAAAGGGAAAAAAATACTTTATCAATCAGTTAAGTATATTCATTTTCTTTAAAACTGAGCTGAGAATAAAGTTTTTAATTGACTACATCAAAGAAATGAAAACTGCTTTTAAATAATAAATTTTTAAAATAATATATAATATTTATTTAATTTATATTATTAATAAATATAAAGATAAAAGTTTATTTTATTTTAAATATTTTTCTTTTATTATTATTACTCTCTTTATCATTGATTTATTGATATATATATATATATATATATTCTTTGATACTATTATTCTCTTTATTATAAATTTATTATTATATATTAGATTATTGAAATTCCTTTTTATAAAATTTTAATATAATTATTTCTTTTACTATATTATTTTTCTTTGCTAATTTATTTTAATTTTTATGTATTCTATTTATTTTTATATATTTTACCGAAATAATATATAGAACTATGATTTTTATAATATATTTATTTAAATATTATATTATTTTGAGATAGATTTAGTATAACTAAGTAGATATCATAGTCATTAATTAATACACTTCAAATGAAAAAGAAGAAGAAGAAGAAGAAGAAGAAGAAGAAGAAGAAGAAAAATAAATAGTTAAAAAAAATCAATTAAAAAATTAATTATTTTATATGATTGATATTTTAATGAACAAGTTCTTATAATAGAAAAATAAGAAAGTGATTTACTTACATATATAATATACTTTTATATAAATATAAAAACTATATTAAATAAATATTATAATTATTTATAATTAAAGAAGAATATTAAATATTTTTAACTTTTATATATTTTTTTTAAAACTTTTATTTTGTTATTTTATTTTAATTTTTAATTTTTAATTTTTTTATTTATATATATTTAATTTTTTTATATAATTTCTATTCATTATACTGGTGAATAAATAAAGTTAGAATTTTTATAAAATAGAAACTTAAGAGGTCACAATTAATAAGAAATCTTAATTGAATTATTAAAGTTTGTAAGTACAAAAAAAACAAATATCATTATAATAAAGAAGTAATGATAGGATATAGTTATTTATTGTGAATAAAAAAGAGGAGTAAAAACATAAAAGAATTAATCATAGAATTTAACATGAAGAAAGTTTGACTAAGGAAGAAACTGCTTGGTCTTCTATTTCATTTTCTGAGCTTACTGAACAACTCATCAATCACTCACTCTCTCTGCCAGCAGCAGGCCTAGGCTATTTTCATGATCACTGCAAGGATGCAGCAATTGTGGCACACTCAAGGCATACAAGACTCAGATTTTTCTCATCCCAGCATAATTATTTGTCCCTGAGTGTAGATATTCTGGATTGTAAATCTACTTAGTTATCCTATCTGTGGATTGGTTTACTAGGTGTGGAGATTGGCTCGGTGGGGAATTATGTTGCTTAAAAAGCAAATCTCACCCCTCCGTGAGTGAAAAATCCTGACTGTCGGGTCTCTCGGGATAATTTCAACAGAATTCATCTGAGAATAACTACACCTCCCACTCACAGTCGTTGTATTTGTCTGTTGGACCATGCAATTATCGTCAGACGTGACTTACAAATACTATTCGCGATTCCAGTTCGGACAGGGAGTTGGTTTAGTTACACCTTCATTCTGCAGGCGACCCAGTTGAAATATCGCATTTTTGCTTAATAGTTACTAGTTTGAAGCAGTAGGATGTTTTGAAAACCATGGCTGCTCCGAATTCCCGTATGTGCTTTCCATGGTTCATTCTGCCTGACACAAATTATCTCACCAGGTTCTTAGATAGCCAACCCCCGCCCGCACAGCCGGGACAGCATCCACCACAGCCGTACGGAGCCCCTCCCCCACAGGGTTTTCCTCCCCAGGGGGCTCCAGGTTACGGAGCTCCTCCTCCACAGCAAGGACAGTACCCCCCATACGGCCATTATCCTCCCCAAAGCCCGTATCCGCCACAACAAGGTCTACAACCTGTTCCTGGCCAGTATCCTCCACCTGGTCAGTATCAGTATCAACAAGGCCAGTACGGTCAATATCCTCCTCAGCCTTACCCGCTGCAATACCAGCAACCACAAGGCCAATATCAGCAACCGACATATGGATACCCTCCGCATCCCCAACCACCAGGATATTATCCACAGCAACCGCCTCTCCATGGATACGGCGCACCCCCTCCCAGTCAGGTTCCTCCACAGCAGTTATATACTGCACAGTTTCCAAATGTAGGGACGCCATCAATAGGGTACATTCCGGGTCAGATGGCACCGGGTGATGCGTCGGCGGAGGCTGACGATCTCCGCGCCGCGATGAAAGGATTTGGAACTAGACAGAAAGTTCTCATTAATATTCTCACCAAGGCGGACCCGCTTCGTATTGAACTTATAAAGGATACGTTCACGAAACGAACGGGGCGTAATCTGAAAGAAGACATTAAATCCGAGACTTCGGGCAACTTTGAGAATGTCCTTGTTGCACTGGTAAACGGACCACTTTTGCAGGATGTCTATGCACTCAGAAAAGCGCTCAAGGGTGCAGGCACCGATGAAGCCATACTAAATGACGTTCTCATCGGCCGATCCAACGCTGATCTAAATGCAATCAAACAAGCCTACGCAACAGAGTTCAAGAATAGATCCCTCGAAGCCGATGTCCAAAGCGATTTATCAGGCGACGTCAAGGCGCTATTCAACATCATTCTGACTGCAGCGCGACCTGAAGGGAATGCCCCCATCCTACAGCATGAACTCGAACAAGACGTCAGAGACCTCAACCATGCCATGGCCGGACTCGGCACAGACGAAACCACCGTCTGTAGAATATTTGCCGGACGCTCAGACGCCCAACTCCGCGCGATTTCACAGCAATACAAGGCGCAGTTTAATAAGGATCTCGAGAAGGAAATAACGAGTGAGTTCTCCGGCCATTTGAGGAGCGCGCTGCTCGCGATGTTGAGGAATGCTTTGGACCGGGCAGCGCGGGATGCTATGGCGCTGGAGGAAGCGATGAAGGGCTGGGGTACCAAGGATGTCCATCTAATTGAGAGGATTGTCCGGATTCACTGGGATGGGCAGCGGATGCAGATGGCCAAAGCTGCATATAAACGTATGTATCAAGTTGAACTTGCTGAGAGAGTCAGGGGGGAAACCAGTGGCGATTACAGGACGACGTTGCTGGCGATTTTGCAGTGACTATGCAACTGTGGTGCTGTTTATTTTTTGTGACGGGGTATCGTTTCCCCCCCTTGTTTCTGTCATTTTTACCTTTTCTAATATTATAATTTCTATTTTGGCTTGAGATCTCCCGCTGGCTCAATCCGGTTATATATTCGGTTCGTTTTCTGCCTGATTATGTTGTTTAATCCCCCTCCATTTTCACCTCCGATCTTCATTAACTCTCTCCTGCATTGGATGGAATGTTTGTAAATTTCAATTTAACTCCGATTTATTTATGCGTGCAACGTAAGTTATTATTGGAAATATACCCGACAGGCCGTTTGTCCTATGAAAAATCTTCCCAAAGTAAAAATATAAAATTAAGAATCATAAATCGACAAAGGTTCATGGTCTGGGAAACTGCTATTCCATAATGATGCATATATTTGAAGATACCTATCATGCACATTGGGGTTGGCGTTTCGCATAAAATCAGAGAAGTGAATATCTGAACAGGGAAAGCATCCAATGTTGGAATCAGAAAGAAGTTCATCTAATCAAACTCATTTTCATTTGAAGTCATCAATTCCTCTCTTCATCTCTCCGTTCTGTCTCGCTAACGAGTGGTAGGTTCGCGGTGCAATTGCAATGGTGAATAAGACGATATACATGTGTAAGGCCAGGACTGGAATATCTGATGGTTATTATCAAATAGTTTATATATCATAATTATTTAATAATTTATTTTTGTAAATGTGGCAGAACTGAGAGATGAGAGATTAGTGGACCGTATTCAGCGACGGATAGGGGTATAAGGACGCAAACGGGACTTAAGCATACCATGTATTAATCTCGTTTGCGGGCTGTGGCCAGCGTTGGATCTGTTCCCCCGAGTTACCATTCACTCGCAATCCACTCTCTCATCAACTCAATTCCAAACTCAACCTCCACGACTCCTTTAACCCTTTCACAAAATTAATCACCACCATCAATTTCCCTGATCGCTGCCGAAACCAACCAAAAGAAAAACGGAAGAAAAGAAAAAGTGAAACCAAAAAAGAAACAACTATGAATGACCAAAATTATGTAGAACGAATAACCATATGTTCCAAAGTCCACAAATTCCGGGGAGGGTGCCAGCCCGTTTACTCCCTCCTCACTCTCCCATCATTCCCCCCCCCATCCCCCTCATTGCCCCCATTCAAAAGCTTCCCTACACTCTCCCGCACACTAAACCCTCCAAACAACCAATCATTCCCATGGCGCCCGCAATAATTAACAGTGCCCGACAATCGTCTATTCTCACTGAGACTGCTGCCGCCACTGCTTTTGCGTTTGGTATGCGTGTATGGGCTCGAGTAGCGCTTGTGCGCCGAGTGGGTGGTGGGAGTTGGGGCAGTGGAGGTGGAGGGGGATGTAGGGGTTGGGGGATGGAATTGAGTTGGGCTAGTGACCATGAGGGGAGGGGAATTCGTGCGCTGGCCAGAGTGGAGGTAGGAAACGGGGCTATTGGTGGTAGCGGTGGAGTTGGCTGTGATGGTGGTGGTGGTGGTGGTGGTGGTGGTACCAGAGGTATCGATTGGGGCTGGCCGGTGAGATTTGGGCTGGAAGAAACGGCGGGTTGTTATGGGGGTGGCGGTTGAGGCAGTCGACATTTTCTTCGTTGCTGTTGTTATTGTTGTTGTTGTTAGGAGAGATTGAATTGGTGCTTCTGTTTCTCCGGCTGTGATGCGTTTATCGTGCTTCTTCTTCCACATCCGTGAGGGATAGCGTTATATATGGTGGTATTCAAGAATAAATACTTGGAGTCGTTCGAAAGGATTTCTCCCGTTGAAAGACTAGCTGATTGATCGCGGATCGGAGCACGGCTTCGTTCAAGAATGCTGTGCTGGCTCGACGGGCGGCAAAGGAGTTCAAGATAACAATTCTACAGCTATCTTTCTTTTACATGGGTTATCGAGAGCGATTAAGGGATCAATTCTAAGGATAGGCAGGGCTAGGATATCCCGATTTGTCACAATCTCAGGGCTAGGCCTGCAGATTTAGAAATAAGGAAGAGACAAGGACGTCCTGCGTCGGTTCTTAAAAGGATTTGATACCAAATAGTGAGCCAAAGGACAGGAACCTCGTTGGAGTGGAACCCGGGTTGCTCGAATAAAGGTACGCAAGGTGATAGCGGTCCCGATCAACGGATGGAGAATATAATCCATAAAACGGGCTGGAGTAGTGAAATGAATGCCTCAGAAAGTGGAAAAGAAAAGAATCTAATATATATATATATATATATAAATATAAACAAAAAATACAAAAAAGTAAATACAAAAAGGGGATATGACGGGGGGAGACGATGTATTTATCTTTGTCACCTCCAGGTCAGTTTAAGTCCGTTTCCGTAGCGGACATGCACAATCACCTCCTTGGAATCATCACGCCCGGCTTGAAATTAGTTTTGCTCGGTAGGGTGGGGATGCGACAGGGATGTCCCTTAGCGGGGTCGCGGGGTTTAGGATTAACCCACGCGGCTCTGTGGAAAGTAAAAAGATTCGATCAGACGTTTAGCTCCATTTATAAACGAATTTTCGGGGCAGACTGAATTGATCGAAGCTGGCTGCTATTCTTCGGATCGTCAATATGGAGGGTCTAGGGAGGAAATTGAAGTGGTGACTCAATGGGGCTGTCTCGACTCCCGCCTTAACGTTTCCTCTCTTCCTCAAGTTGCCTCATGTGTTGGCATTCAGGGACCTAGGAGCCAGTTAAATGTCATCAGCTGAGCCGTTTGCTGGAGTCACAATTTTTCGCTCCCTTTTCAAAAGACGAATGAAACATCCCGTTTAGGGAAAGGAATGCCGAATCAAGAACGTGTCTGGAGAAAAAAGGTTTAACCGTTCCACTTTAGAGCCAAGTCTTAGCGGTCGTGGGAAGATGACTTGCAAGCGATACGGAATTCGACAACCTGAGGAACAGCAGAAAAGTTGTGTCTAAAAACGGGAAGGGCTGCAAGGGTTGACCAGATTTGCTGCTGATTCTGGGCCCCAATTTCGACGAGAATGGGCACCAACACATGCAATGTCCAATCTCCATTCAGACCGTATACATGAATCCCTTTAAATAGCGTGGTGACCAGCTAGTTAACCAGCCCTGGGGTTTTGCTTGAGAGTGCTCGGCCAGATTCCAACAACGGCCAGATTTTCTTCCCGAGTTCGAGTGAGAATCCATTTCCCATAGGGTTGATGGCCCCAACAGGCTATTTTCACATGGCCATGATCCACCACAGAAGACGTGGGGGAGAGGGAGAGGAGCCGGGGAAGGGGGGGGCGGGATAAAGAAAAAAAGAAAAAAAAAATTAAAATCACGTCAAAAATGTAAGCAAACTACCTTGTTCTCACATCATGATAGGATTTCCAGAATATGTTTTTCATGGACTGCCAACTTCAGTGATTCATTGACAGTGTTTGTGATTGAAACGGCCAATGACATTTCGAAGATTGCAATTCAACCCCCTATCGGGTGACTCAGAATTGCGACTCCGTGGCCCCCGGGGATGATGCTGATGCGGATACCCCAGGATCTTGACCTGCCTATGACGACACGGTTGCTCCCCACGGGTACAATAATAGGTGGTTCCCGCAGGGTCAAGGATTCTCCGCGGATTTGGACCACCGCCGAGTTAGTTACTAATCGATGCTAGGATCAAAGCCTGGCTTTTAACCATAGTTACACGACTCTTTCATGAAGATAAGAATCTCGTGGAGTCGCAGACGATTTGTGGGCACTGCGCTTCTCTGCGCCCTCTTAATAGTTACATAGGACGTGTGTGGCACATGCGAGTGCTGGAGAATCGTTCATATCATCATTCTTCGATAGTTATTACCCTTTGTACTAGTTAACTAGTTAATTAACTAGTGATCATAGTTATGCTGCCGAGATTTTCCTGATCTCTGGCTGGCAGCTCCAACTCTTTTAACTCATTCAGCCGCACTGCGTCGAGAAGCAGAATTAACCAGCCCTAAAACTCGCCTCGAGAGTAAATAAACTGATGTGAGGATGACAAGGAAGCTCCCGATTAACTAACCATTACGAACAGTCGGCTAACTAACTCTCGGTTCTGGTTTACTTCAGTCTTGAGTTGGGAACTTGGACATGTTTCGTTAATTGTCTCCTTGTCTCATCCCTTAAAAAGTCATTCGAAGACTTTTCGTAGCCCTACGTTGCGCCCTCAATCCTCAAAAATCTAGCTTTAGCAGGGTTTTTTTTTTGAAGCGCATCACCTGCTTAATCTGGTTGCATACGTAAAGCTTTTATTCAGTCAAATTTTAACTAGGTACCGTTCATATTCTCAGTACGAAGTATTTTGCAGACGGATTTCTCCTTCTCACACCAGCTTTACTACCATGCCCGGGACACTTTCTCTGCAGCTTTGAATAACTACACAGGCCACCCACCTGGGGACTTCCCGGAATCATCACCATATAGATTATGTTTTTGCTTCAATGGACTTTTGCAAGTGTGTGTCCAAACTACCAAAGCAGTCTACAGAGTATGGCTCAGCTACCTTCACCTTTCCCCTTACAGGCAAGACGCCTGAATGCAAACCATATCCAGTCGCTGGCATTCTTTCTTCCCCCTTGTCTTTTGTAGACATTCTGTTTCATTCTGCCTAGGTTACGTTTCGAGGCGAAATGTGTTATTAGAGTCAGGTCGAAGTGAGAGAGTAAACCGTTCGTAATGAAAAAGGAAAGAAGAAGAAGAAGAAAAAGAAGAAAAGAAAGAAAAAGACAAGACAAAGTAATCGTAAGAACTGTACGGAGAACACACTTTCATGAGTTCCATCTTCTTCATTTTCCACTCCAGCATGTGGCTCTGACAATATTGCCCAAGCAATTGAATTTGATGACTCGAATTTCACCACCCAGCTTCGCCACCACAGACAAAGAAAGAGAAAAAAAGAAGAGAAATTCTTCTTGCGGAATGCAGACGCTCTTGGATATGATAGAACACAGGCTGCCCTGCGCTTCGGCCACAACGCCATGGATTTGCGCAATGGGTGTCTCATCCATCAATTCATTGACAACAAATTGTAATCTTTGGGCAATGCATAGGCCAATGAACTTCACCCTGACTCCATCCATCGTGGCCCGCTGTATCAATTTCTGTCACAATCGAATGACAAAAATGCCTGCAGACTTTCACTCTCAATGGCGGCTTGATACTGAATTTTGGTAAGGAGTTGTAGTTTCTTGTTACAACTGGCAGGCCATCCCCCCGTCAGCGTCCTAAAAAGAGTGTTTCGTTGGGTCGTTCATGGTTATTGATGATTTGCTCTCAGTTTGTATTGAAATTCATTTAATCGTATTAAAGTGCCAACTCAGGAGAAGCAGGTGAGGTGTTTGCTTTGAGCTGAAAAAGTAAAGATTATTGTGAATGAATGGAAATTTCAAAATGACTCTCTTTGGCAGAATGGGTGATTAATATCATTGCAGGAGAAGCTGGACCTTCGTAGCAAGACCCTATATCAACAATCACATTGGGGATTCCATTGAGGTGAAATCAGAGGGTGTGGCTAGTTGATATTGGATGTATGTGTTGAGCGGAGTTTGTCCAGAACTGATACAGACTCCCCCGGTGTTAACTTGGTTGAATTCCATCCTGACATCCATTGAACTACTGTTTCAATCCTAAAGGGAAGGGAATGGCAATAAACATGGGCAAGGAAGATATCACCAAGGATTTTGGATAATCCCTTTGGAGATTACTGATGGGCTAATCCATGAGTATGGCAGAATTATGGCACAATGTCCCATATTGTCCGGGATTGGAGGGAGGGTTCTAGCGGCGCGTATTCCACGGGCATTAATCGAGACGCAACCTTGAGTGTTGATCAAAAGTCAATCCCGACTGTTCTGAAGCAATAGCCAATTTGTCCCGAAGCTCTTTTGCTATTGGAAAAGGCTGGGGTTAATAAGAACGAGACGGGTAAAATCCATGGAGGCTTTCCCAAGTGCACGAAAGATATTCTCCAGACTGGAAATCGGAATTTTTTTGCCCCTGTACACACCATCCTGTCTGGCTCGGGATGTGGACGTACCCTCGCTTGGTTGCCTTCAAGAAGAGGCGTTTTTCCCCGGGGCCCATCAGCCTGAATCAAGAACAAAAATGAGGGCGACACATTCTGACAGTTACAAGTTGAGGATGTGCGGATGAATGTCGTATGTAGTTAGATAATCCAGGTGTTAGCCTTCCGTGTTCAGAGAGGACAAACTCCAATGGATGGAAATCGGATGGAGCAAATGCAGAGGATAGATATTGTCTTGAGTTAAGGAGTGTTCGTAAGTGACAAGAGTTTAAGTTAGGTGACCAACCTTGGAAGAGTGGGTGGTGTCAGGTCTGGCCAATTTTGCCAACCGGGGAGCTGTTCATCCATGGATGCCGTCGTCGGCTTCAACCAGCGAACAAAACCATGGATAGAACCCTCAGACAACTCCTATTGGTTGCGCTCTGTGGAGGATGATTTCTTTATCAGCCAGAGAGCCAGATGTAGCCATGTGGAATACCCCAATAACTACGCATCCAGATAACACCCTCGCGGCCGCGAATACTTCCGCAGGGCATATTTATATTCTCATTGGCTTGAAGCCGAATTTCAAATGATGGACGACACGTCCTGCTCTTCCTCTACCTCTGAACCGAAAACAACCTCCGGCAATGTCACACATATCATATACGACCGGGGTACGGGAATCCTACGAGCCTGTTCTCATGAGCATGGCTTCTTGTGTTGCGAAATGATATGGCTTTATACAGCACTGTCTAGTATATTCCGGTGAAGGTGTAGACGGAACCCTCTCCGTCAAGAGATTATCGGTTGAACATACTTTTTCTGTTTTTTCTGCAGTCGCAATATCTGCTGTTGCTCTCCGATGTGGCCCAGCTTCAGTCTGAATGAACGGGACAACGTATGGACAACGTATGAACAACATTAACGTCTCTCCGCCGGTTTTTGGCGGATGGCTCTTTCTCCCGTGCAATGAATGTCCCCGGCTGGCGCTTTTAAGGGGCTTCAACCTCGAGTCCGACGTTCTCAAATGGCGCTCTCTAATCAATTTTTTTTTTTTTTTTTTGGTTCATTAATATTATACCACATTGCTACATTCTATCCCGCCTGCATTTTTGCAGCCTGCTTCTATCTGATGGTATCATATCATCGCAACCCAGCTTGCCCACACACGCCGGTCAACTCTAGTCACTGATCCATCATCAAAAGTTTCCTATCCCACGCGCTGCCTGCTTGCGTCGCAGAGCCAGTTTTCCAGGCAATGGATTAGGGAGATTATCTTTGTCACTGTCCTTATCTTCCCTGGGGATACAGCACTTTCGGATGCTAACTTGGCGGCCCTGGAGAGATAGTAACTTAGCTAGATCCAGTGATGGGAATAATATGGCACCCATTCATAAACATCCCCTTCGCACTAGGCAAGCACAAACACACGTCCTGCCTCCACGCCCAGCTAACGGCCCTACGGGAGAAGCTGTACCAGTGACGACTTTCATTAGCTTGAAAACCTTCATGGCAATCATGGTTGCCACCTTTTCTATTTTCATACTCACTATTTACTTTTGGAAAATTTCCTCGTTTCTCCGTCGGTTTACAAGCCACAGGGTCCTGGGCGGGAATAGTAAGTCAATTCGATATGCAAAAACTTGGCACGGGTGGGTTCCTTTGGCCGAGCATGAGGCAAAGAGGGCGCGGAGGAAGAACCGATACAGGAAATTTCGACAAAAGATCGCATGGAGGTCGTCTCATGCTGATTACAACTGGGTATGGTGGGATCCAAAAGGTGCTGCTGTGGAACAACATTTCGAGGACAAAAGGGATGCCCGCTGGATCCCTCGATGGTTGAAAAGCTATGAGCATGCAAACGCCGATTTGGCTCGTAAAGTGTCGAAAGAACGTCCTGCTGGTTCAGAAAGGCACCACTCAGAGACAAATTCGAAGGGAAAACCTGGTTTGCGGAATTCTATTAAAATTTCGGCCCAAGTTGTAAAGGCCCGTAAACGCTCACGATCAGGGAGATCACCAATATTCCTTGACGGTTTCAATGACAGAATACTCCCGTCAATGTTGTATAACGGCTTCCATGGGAATTCTGGACAGAAGGCAGCTGGTTGGACTCCCTTCAATTCACGGGGTGCTGAACCTCTGTCTTTATCGGCGGACAGTTCAAACCGCAGTGCCCGCTGCCAACGGACACCAACACCTGATTTCTCTCAGAATGGATTAAGGCGATGTGTTTCACTGTCTCATCTTCCTACATCCCCAGGACATGTTGAGTCAATACTCGCCCTTGGAGCTCACAGGGAGTCTGCTTCAGAAGGTTTTCAACGGAGCACGGTCGAGCCGATACAATTTTCAAGGCTAGATTATCGTCGTTTTCGAACGATCGTACCGGCTGACGAAGGTGGTCAAAATCATCTGGTGATTGCCCAAACTGCGGTGGCTACGGAAAAATCGCTGAGTTGGAAATACAAAGCGTGGGCTGCACATATGCAACTCCAACCGATTGAGCAACCACCTCCCTACCTTCACGGACTGGCTGGACGGCCGGGAAGCCCTCTATCAGGAATTTTGAGAGCCCTGAGCTCATCTGATTACCAGTCTGAGTCTTCAGAATACTATTCCCGGATGCCAATCCAAAACCGTACCCCTGAGTCTTTCACTCCCGAGACGAACACTCCTCAATTCCCTTCATTACCCACGTTTACCCCTCATACCCAACATGGGCCTCCACAGCATCAGGCAGTTGATCTCTCAGACGTTTCACTGGGCGCACTCTCTGTAGATGGAATTGGGGATGCAATTCGATCCCCACTCGCCCAAAGTAGCAACCTTATCCATCCAGGAAAAAAACTTTATAATGCCAACAAATCCATCCACCAACCAATATTACCGCCGTCCACAGGATTCAGTAATCTCCCAAGACAGCCGCTCCACCCAGTGCAAATTAGGGCCGTCTCGTTCCAGCTCCCAAAAGCTCAGCAAGAGGAACGGGTTGGGTCATGGCCGGGCCCTCAAACTCTATTGAGCAATGCTGAAGTTAGATTGATCTATGACCTTGATCGTAGGCTCGAATGGCTCTCGAGTGAAGTTGAGCCTGGTCGCCAACCGTTTCAGTTTCTGCTACTCGCGAACCATTGGTTAAATAGGTCTACGTGGACAGTTCTGGATCCGGTTTCAAGAGTTTCAGTTACAGAACGGAGGGAGCATGGAGATCCCAGATTCAATCGCCCTCTACCTGCGCCGAAAAATAACACCTTTAGACCCAAATACCCCACGCAGCATCGTGTGAAGATACACGCACCGGGACTTGATTCATGGCGAGTGGCCATTAATGGCGCCAGGAAGTCATCCGGGGCACGGCAATTCTTAAAAGCAGTTGAATTATTCGAAGGCTCGGCTGAGGAACCTCCTGACGGCGCCATTGACCCGGCAAGCTGGATTCTTCGAAGACCTCCGCAGGGGTTTGAGTTGTCAAATAAACAGGCGAACGCATACTACGAAGGGATGGGTGGCTGGTGTGAGAAGCTCGATGACTGGCAGAATGTTTGCCGGGCGTACAGGGCGCGCAGGGTTATTTGTGAAGGCGGTGCTAATCGACAGAGGATAAAGGAGATTGCAGAGATGGCTGCTCTTCCCTGTCGGAAGGTGATCAAAAGATGGAATCAAGCTCCACAACAGTTTCATCGGACAGAGAAGCAGAAGTTGAGGGGAAAACACCAGGAAATGCGGCAGGTATTGTCTGGTAGCGGCTCGATTCCGCGCCATCGCCAACGCGATAATGCACCAGGACGACGACCAGCGATAATAACCCTTGGGTCAGACGTGCCGGGACGCAATGATTCTGTCGTATCCGTATCTCGATCCATCATCGTCTCTTCCGGGAATTCAGCAAGTGGATATCTGTCGACGAGGCGTTCGGTTGCGATGGATGGTAGTTATGAATCTGGAGACGCGGTCGTGGTGCTTGAGCAGGAGGCTGTGCAGTTTGGACAGACGGAGCGAGATCCTGGTTGAGAAGGCAACAGACGGGGTAGAACGAGCAGCTGCAGCTGTCGTGTTTGAGGGGCAAAATCAGCACGTCTGTTCCGGCTGGCTATAAGCAGTTGCTGGCCGTGATTGTGGAAATTGTGGTGCGGGGGGTTTGAATGAATTCCTCTCGTTTCATTGAATCCTGTCTGTTAGGGTATTGTCTTTGTAAATTTTAATAACATTCGTTGAGTTTTCTGTATTTTTTTTTTTTTTTTTAATTTTTAATTTTTTAATTTTATTGCTTCCTAGAGACATGTATGGACTGTAGCATAGCGTGCGATGATAACGTTGATGGCTACACTAGGAGATGTCCAGTGGAGAATGGGATCATGCTTTAAAAAATAATTTCAGCACAAAACAAAATCAATAAAACCTCAACATATCAGAAAAACTCCTATGCTATATGTAACATGTGTTCTCTGCCCCCTTCAACCAACTCAGTCAGATAGCAAGCAGGGAGGTTATTAACAACCTCTAACACTAAAGAAATAGAAACGGTAACAAAAGACTACTCCAAAGTCTACTGTACATGGGATTATAGATAAATAAAAGCATTTTCGCTTTCGTTGAATCAGCGGCGATAAGCGATAACCCAGCAGTCCGGTGTATATTCGTGGCCTCTCAGCACGTAGTAGGATCTGCCGGGTGTGCCTGTCGTAGTGTGTATGGCGGTATACATGCACATCGAGTGGAGAAACGGGGTAATGCGTGGAAGGGATGGAATGGGACGTTCAGAATCCGGGGGGATTGACTCGTTGGCTGACTCGGGTCCATTTGGGGAGCTCTATCAGGTCGAATGAGTGGTTAGATAGTGACATCCGGAAATAGGGGGAAGAAGAGAAACGTATTATCTACAATATGAATCCCGTGAAATCAAGCTAGGCGCAGAAGAAGAGTCCGGAAGCCAACCAAACCACCACAAGAAGAAGAAAAGGCCGTCCAGAAAAATGGATGATGAAAAACCTGACAAAAGAAACAAGCACATATGCGCACAAGAAAAAGGAAAAACATACTATGTATCCCCTTGCGATACTTCTTCTCCTTCCGATCGAAAATCGTATACTTGTCCTTGGGCAACATTTCCTCCTCGCGCGGCATCTCAGCAAACCACCTCGTCACGGCCTTGCTGGTCATGCCCTTGCGCTCCAGCGCGGCGCTGACGGTGTCGACAACCTTGTCGACTGCCCGAAGCCGTTTGCGCTGGCGGGCCTTCTGTGGGGCGGAAAGACGCCAGGGGATTTTCCTGTTTGCATATAAAGGGTGTTTGGTCAGTAGAGTTATATGAGGGAGTGGAAGTGTCATTGCTATGAGCTTGGGTTGTAGGGCAATTGGTGCGGTGGTATCGGGGGAGTTGTCATTTTCATACCAGAGGAGGCCCCCCATAAGGGGAGAAGTGGGTTTGAACATCTTCGCTGCGCAATGGGAGGAGTAACGCAGGCTGTTCTCTGCTGCCAGTGGAATGAATTAATTAGACAAAGATGTTGCGGAGTCGAAGTTGGATTTTGCGGGCTGCGGGAAAAAGGGCCGGGTTGGTCCGTGCACGTCGTGCGCGTGCGGGAAGCTTTTGAACTTAAATGGGGAAACTTGATCAGTATTCTCGATTCTCTCCTCCGCCATAGGCTTTTTCTCCTACCTATGCTCTTTTGGATATATTGATGTACATGTAGTGTTTTCTTCATGGAAGATCGGCGACGGCATTCTCACAATGCATCTCAGCCCGGGTACCCTCGAACAGCCCTCGGGCTTCTGGAGGGGCTGCTCATCCGCAACCATGTATACAGTGGTAGCAGCGTGCCGGGCTTTCCTCTACGCCGCAAGCAATACGGAGGTTAGCGGGCACGACGGTTTTATAAAACTGCTAGAGTCTCGAGCAGATCGAGAATCACGAACGCGGGGTCTAATAACAGGTACGGGAGGTTTAATCCTTTCATGTGAAGATGCAACCTAGCAGGGGCGGGCTATCGGGAGTTATACTTACTCATGGCTAATACGATGGGTGGAGACAGTGTCAAATCATTTAAGCGTGTACGTGGGAGCAATACCGGCTGTGATCTGCAGTTCTCCGTTATGCGACGAGTTTGAATAACTGATTTTTTGGGGTTGCTCTATTTTATTTACAGGATGGATGATCCCCTAATGTGGGGGACTATTCCGCTATTGAACCAACGGGCATTCCAGTCGTTTAACCGCAGATGGGCGTTTGGGAGTCACGATATCTGTTACAGCCAAAGGTTGGGGATATTCCATATATCTGTTTCTGGCTAGATATCAATATTAGTGCTTTTCCTGTTAATTATACGAGAACTAATGCACTGACAATAAAATTAACATAGTATCCTTGCTCTGTTTTTCACTCTAGGTCAGGTCCTCCCTACACACCGTAACCTCCATTCCCGCCATGGAGGTTTATTCCAACCCACCATGACACAAGCGATACGCCTCCTCTCACGCGGACCTTTTTCTCCCGAACCATACATGGCGCCCCCCAGTCGGCAGCACTGGAGTCTACAGAATGTCTGTGTCGATCCGTTTTCAGAGGTGGCAACAGCATATACCACGACAGGCGAAGATTCTCATCTTGCGCCGTCGGCATACGCTTGTAATTCATATTCGTGGCTTCACATCTTCCCTGAAGGCAAGGTACACCAGGCGCCAAACAAGACGATGAGATATTTCAAATGGGGAGTGTCGCGGTTGATTCTGGAGGCGTCTGAATGCCCTGACGTCGTTCCCATATGGATCGAAGGCACCGATGAGGTCATGCATGAGGATCGAGGGTTCCCACGATTCTTACCCCGTGTCAACAAGAATATCAGCATAACCTTCGGTGACCCCGTGGACCGGGAGGCTCAGTTTGGCGACTTACGGCGGCGGTGGCAGAAGATAAAGGCAGAGGCGGAAGAGGGACATCAAGTAGCGCCTCTTGGGGTCTTGAACGATGAACTCAAGTATGGTAAGGAGGCGGTTGAGTTGCGGATCGAGTGTACCAGGAGAATCCGGCAGCTGGTTCTCGCAGTTCGCAGGTCGAGGGGTTTGCCAGACGAAGACCCTAAGGAAAGCCGGGTCGAAACCTGGCTCCGCGAAGGGCCAAAGGCCGAGGGAAAAATGGACGATGGATCATGGATACGCGATACCTAGACTCATCTGTATACTACTGTTTGCTGCCTCTGTAATTATACCATTTAGAACTATTTCGTTGGCTCAATCAACGAGTTTGATCCCATTCTTTTGACCCAAGAATATGGTATCCCCCAACTGTGATATTTGTATACTTGTTTTCCGTCTTAAACAACACTACTTAGATCTACATTCGCGGAAAAAGAGTTTTAAAACAGAAGCCGTTATTCATCTTCATAGATATTATTATTTTGTGGTATGTTATTTAACGTCATATTTGGACATGTTTGTCTCTACGGATTTAGTTCTTCTGTGGCGTCATTCCCTTCCACCTACGTAATATATAATGCCCAGGCTTCCACACACCACCAACCCCTCCAGTATTCCATCAAACATCCACCGGCTCTCCAAAGTAGCCGATAACGATATGCCCAAGAAATACCACAAATTCACGAACTCCAAGCCAAGTTCCACCGTCCATCCATCGCTCACCTCTTTTGCTGCGTTAGGCCCCAAAAATGGCGGCTCCAAGGCTGAAAGCGGTCACTCCGTGAATGATCTCATCCGTCACCTTCGCCGCACGCAAGTGTCCAGACATGATGAGGCTGTCGCAGGACCTTCGCTGGTGGCTCCCAGATCTGTCCATCCCTCGATACGGAATTTGCTGGAGCTCCCTGAGACTCCTCCTCCACGCCCGCGCCCCGGGACCCGGGTCGTTGGTGAGCGGAGGGTGCGGAGAACACCTGGCCCTGCTGCTCCCATGAGCTGGCTAGTTCCTAATAATATGACGGATAGAGGGCAACCTGGGGGCGAGAATGAGCACGATGATGTTGGCAATGACATTGGCGGGAGAAATATTCGGTTAGATCGTCTGCCAGGCATACTTTTCCCGCAAGAGTGTAGCCTGCAGCATATGATTTTGAAATCGATGGCGCTGAACTGGGACTCACACCTCTTGTACGATGGTGTGTTTCTGTCTGAGCTTCCAACCCTGATGAAGCAGCTGCTCCTTAGCTACATTGCTACATATACATACCACGCTTCAATGGAGATAGGAATGAAAGGCTTAAAACCTCTCTTCCTGGATGGTTCCGAAGACGATGTCAAGGAGACCCATTCGGATGTTATTCGTCTGGACCTGGGCTCCGCTATTGGCCGCTGGATCACACTCAAGCAACTGACACGAGAGGTGAAGGCTACGGATGGACCTGAGTCCCTTTCCCACTCCAAAAAGCAAGAGAACACACCCCCATTCTCCTGGGAAGAAGAAGCAGAGGCACAACACTCATCCTCCATTATCTCCACAACCCTGCCTCAACCCCTCCAACAACGCTTCCACAACCTCAAATTCCTCTCCCTCGCCAACCCCATCCCCCAAGAAGCCAACTGGCCCTCCCTCCTCAACCTCCTTAACCACCTATCAACCATAACTCACCTTTCTCTCGCCTTCTGGCCTACCCCAACCCTAACACCAAACTCGCTCACAGCAAGCATGAAAAGCCCAAAACTCAGCTCCCTCACCTTCGCCTACGGCGGAACAGATATGTATTCCGCGTTCGAAAACAACTGGATCGAGGCGGCTGCCGTCCTCCGCAAACTCTCCAAGGTAACCTATTGTCTCAAATGGCTGGACTTGGAAGGGTGTAGCGACTGGCTGCCAGCGCTAAGCTGGAATGGGATCGATGCGCATGGGAATTTCCACGTCACGGCTGGCCCGGAGTGGAACGGGGCGTGGAGAGGGGTTGAGTGGCTGGCTCTGGGACCGGGCTGGTTCCCGGATGTTTCTGATGTGGAGGACTTGTATTTTATTTACGAGAAGGATAAGGCACTTCTGCGTGGGGTTGAACCTGAAAGCGGTGACCCACCTACACCTGGATCTTCGAGGGTTCGTGATAGGAAGTTTTGCATAAAGGAGCGGGATGAGTACCGGAGGCTTATTGGGTCTGCGCTTGAGGTGAAGAAGCAGGTGCAGGCAATTAGGACAAAAGGGGGTGGGAAGTGGCTGGAGGTTACTCTAGGGCCGGAGAGTGAAGGGGAGCTTAGGATGAGGGTGTGTGGGGATATAGTAAAGTGACGAGTGGCACTTCGCAAGTGGGCGTATGAATTGGCCGTTGGGATGCTATGTTAGACCTCGGTGTTATGATATCTATGATGTAATGAATTAATACGATACCTAGCTACCTCCACTTTGTAATACTCGTGGGGAGTTGTTGCATAAACTTTTTGGATACATTTCGGATATCTATCTATGTGCTACTACTCATTAAGGGGCATTCACAAGCACTTCTGCGCACTTTCCGTATATTACCCAGAATACACACACCACTCCTCTACACACATAGAAAAAAACACAATAATGATATTACTGCAACTATGTATATATTTTCGCTCCGAGTATACTCAACCAACCCGGTCAATGCTTCCCGCTGGAATTAAACGTCTTCAACGGATCAACCCTCTTTCCACTCTTCCCCCCTCTCCCTCCCCTTCCCCTGCCCCGATTCCTCTCCCTCGCCTTCCGAATCCGATTCTCATTCGTCTTTTTAAAACCCACAAACCCAACATCGGCGCCACTACCACCGGCAAGACCGGCTTTCCCCTTCGTCGGCATCAAGTAATCGGGAACGTGTTTCAAATGTGCCTGCACACGGGCAGCCCGCAACTCCCCATCATGCCGCAGCTGCCTCAGCTCCTCTGGATTCTCTTCAAAATGGCGCTTGAGCTTCTCGCTCTTGAGAAGTTCCTGCCGGATCTCTCGCGCGCGAGCTTCCTGCACGGCGATACGGGTCACGGCACGGAGCGCATCGGACATTCTGTACCGGAATGCCTCGACCTGCTTCATTTCGAAGTGGTAGGGCTTCACCTCCTGACCGGCCTTGACCTGTCGTTTGGTGATTTTGGCTAGCACTGCTTCGTCACGCTTGGCGGAGGGGAAGCTGGTGGGTTTGTGCTTGCCGAATTGGTTAGAAGGGACGACGAAGGAGAGGGCCATGCCTGTCTTTCCGGCGCGGCCTGTGCGGCCGATCCGGTGGGTGTAGGATTTGGCAGTGGTGGGAAGATCGAAGTTGAGGACGCAGGCAACATCTTGGAAATCGATGCCGCGGGAGATACCGTAGTCCTTCTCCTTTACGGATTTTTTATGTCGTTTACTTGGGTGCTCTTGGACTTCTTCATCGCTTGAATCCTGGGCGCCATCTTTTGACGTCTTGGTATCTGAGTTTTCTTCGCTATCTTCCTGCCCTGCACCTTTGGGCGCTTCATCTGATTTTCGGTTTGGCTTCTTGGATTTCTTTGGCAGTTCACCTAGAACTTCCTGATCGTCTGCAGCTATTATAATATCGTAGACACCCTTGTTGAATTCCTGCACGACGTGAATGCGAGAATTCACCGGCAGTTCGGAATTAAGTACGCAACTTCTGATGCCAAACTGTTCGAGAAATAATTTTAATCGATAGCATCGGTCTACATCTCCAACAAATATGATGCATTTGCCCTTGACAAGTTGCAGTTTAAATATAACATATGTCAAGAGAAATTTCTCATCTTCCGCACATCTAATGATACGATTAGTAAAGTGCGTCTGAAAAGATAATCCACGCCAAATAGACACCATACCTGACAACGAATTGGCTTATTCCAGCCCCTTCATCGTCCTTTTCCTCCAACTTCAAAATAACTGGATTTCGACAAAATAAACCTTTCAGCGTATCTACTTCGGACGAAAAGGTCGCACTCATCAAAAAGGTCTGAACACCACGAGGCACCGCTTTGGCTAGATTCTGCATATCCTGCTCATATCCATATGAAAGAACGAGATCAGCCTCATCAATGACTAAATGTGCCAAACGCTCGAGAGACAGCGCGGAGCTGTTAATATTGACGACTGCCCGACCGGGAGTGGAGATGACAACGTCAGGAAGGTCGGCAAGGATCGAGCGTTGTACAGCGTCAGAAACCTTCTGTGTAAGATTCGCGGACCGTATATTTTTACCCGCAAAGGCGCAGAATGAGGCCACTACCTTTTGCACTTGTTCTGCCAATTCCCTCGTTGGCACGAGGATTAAAGCCTGGACGGCCTTGTTTGTAGGATCATTCTAATTGAGCTGTCAGTTCCCACCCTTCCAACGTGCTTATCGGGTTAGGAAGCGGTACCGTCTGCTTTTGAAGAATTGACTGCAAGATGGGCAACAGGTAAGCGGCAGTTTTTCCGGATCCGGTCTTTGCGCGAGCTGCAGTGATCTTAGAAAGGCAATTTTTGAGATTCAACGGGTTAATATACTAACACACCTAATACATCTTTTCCGTCCAGAGCCAGCGGAATGGCCTTTGCCTGGATCAGCGTTGGTTTAGTGAATTTCTGCGCGGTGAGGGCTTGGAGAAGCCTGGGATCGAGATTCAAGCTCTCGAAACTGGGGGTGCTGTTGTTTTTCTCCGCGGGATCTCCAGGTGAAGGGACATTGTTGGCATCTAGCTTCCGCTTCATGACGAGCAGCCGACAAGAATTGTTCCTGAGATTGGATTCTGTATGTCTGCTCCGTTTTTTGATCCAGTTATCTTAAGGCTCAAAAAAGAGTTGAAACTTTCACAAGTCTTGGCACTATTCGGCCCGTCTATTAATCCGGGTAAGTATAACAACCTGAACCATCGAACAGACGACGAGCTATCAACTCATCTAGTTTTTGGACTCTTTGAACCTATCTTGTTCCAGTTTAATTACGCTGATCCGCTTGAAATAGCATTGCTGATTCTACCTTTTGTGCTAATAATAGATACCCGAAATGATTAAATAGAAGAGTGGCATAACGGGCGAGTGTAAATGAACTAACTGCAACCTTACTGACTGAGCTTGTTGGATGAGTTGTCACCACTCCTGAAAGCTAATTGGTGGCATCTTCGAAGGAATCAAAAATCAAAGCAACAGAACGAACGGACAATGGCAAGCACCACATGATTTAATCTAGAGAGATTGAGCAAATTCAGAGGTGCAGACAAGAAATGAAAGAGAGGATGGGGGGAAAGCATGCGTCCTGGATGATTTGAGGAGAAATTCATCCTAAATTTCCAGGTCTTTCAACGCAACATTGGCGCTGCATTAATGACTAGTGTAACGTATAAAACCTCAGGTTTACTGTTTGCGCACTATATTTCTTCAGAATCGGAAATTTTTACCCGGTGGAGAAAGGAAATCAGCTCCGAAACTTAGGTAGCTGCTTATACCGCCCGGAAGCTACCGAGATGCACTATAAGAATGTCTCGAGGATTTTGAGATAGAGTGCCTTTTCCAGTTCTTAAGAAGGAGGGAAATACATCCATTCGTCAATTTGCCAATTGACTTCACCTTGACGTTGTGCTCCACCGTGTACACCTTTCCGAAGTCCAGTAGCGATGCTCCCATCAAGGTTTCTCCCTCTTCAGGGACGACGATAAATTCATCTTGAATCATTGTACTAGTCTTGCTGTTGAGATCTTCTCTGGGGCCATCCCGCATACGGATGATGGCATGGGCTCTGTGGTCGAGAGATGTTTTGTTGATACCACGTCCTCCGTATGTGCGAATGGCCCTAAGGACGAGAGTTGAGCTAAATAATACCTCCCTCACTAACTAGTTAGTTAGTGAAATGGATAAGCAACGCTTACAAACACCAGCAGCAGTCCTTTTTCTCCGCAACCACAACCATGCGACGGATCTTGCTATACACATGTTCGTTGTGTAAAGTCAACGTCGTCCCCCTTTTACCCGCTGGTTCGTGCCACAACAGAGAGAAAATCTATCGGAAGACATACATTAGTTTAAATGAGATAACCAAGGTGGAATCAATTTTGCCTTTGGGACGTACCTGGCCGGTTTTGAAATATCTCCTCGGGCCCTCTCTCACGCAGAAGCCTTCGAAATTTTAGCGCTTCTCACTTTCAGAATAGTTTGCACAGTGGTCATTGCATACTCTCGCCCAACGACACTCCCGCGTCGGTTGGTCCGATTTTCCATCCGGGGTCAAGACCTAAGTACGGGAAGTTTGATTAGTACACACCCGTATGGGTATTGGCATCCGTGCCCAATGAGTTTATGGGGTGGTGCAAACCTTCTTCCGTTTTGCTCCAACTGGGAGCAGCGTTTCTGCCATGTCCCTGGAATGTGGATACATGAGTAATTGGGTCGTAATATTGTGTACCCCAAGTTGGTACATATGGACTTGACCGGTGTGCATTTGGATATTGCAGCCAGGGGTTATGATAACCCGGAGGATGGTTATCTGGGTAAAGCAAGCCAGAGAATGCTGGTGGAAAACTATAGCTATCCTCAGGATGGATGGGATACTCTGAATAATATCCAGGCTGCGGATTGCTCGGGCCTCTATCATATCGAGTAACATCTGGCGGGTACGGGGAAGCCGCCTGCAGCAGCGGATTGTGTGGTGTTGATGACAGATGATAACGAACGTTCTGGTGCGGATTCTCAATACGCTTGCTCTCTCGACTACATGTCCCAACCTGTCGCGTGTCATGGGTATTCAAATTGAGTCCCCGAGTCGATTCCACTACATCGTGGTAACGGGTCCTCTCGGCATGGTCGTGAACGGCATATGCATTATGTGACGTTCTGCATATTTGTCTCAGTTAAACTTAGATATTCGATGATTATGCCTTGGATTGTGGAATATTAAGAGTCAAATACGTCAGTGTTCTTGGAACATTGGGTGACTGGATGGCAAAGTGCAGTGCATCCGACCCCCTTCCGACTTGCCCAGCCAGCAGTGGACCTCCCTGGCGGGATGCCCACGGTTCTCGACCAGATTCCTCTTTTTGTTCTTCATACTCTACAGGTTGGTCACGGCGCCTATTCCTCAGATTTCTTTGTTAATATTGCAGAACCCGTTATCTCTCCCAAGTCCGAATACATACCTAGACATGATTTTTAGCCGACCCGCGCGTCTAAATTTAGTTATACAGCTAGGGATACGATAGAAAGGAGGAGGGGGGTGGAGGCAAATATGCTTATTCTTCAACTCCAGGAACATGCGGCAATTCTCAGGTGCCTCTTTTTCAACCCAGATTTCCAAGTGTAACAGAAATAATGCGACCCATAAGTAAGCCAGCCGGCATTGCGGCTCCGCAATTTCGTTCAACTGGAAGTGCACCAGGAATGCATGTTTGTGCTGGTCCTTCTTGGATTGATGCGAACCCGTGTAGGCCTGCCCTGGCAGCTAATCGATATGCCCCGTACCTACGAATCATGGGGAGACGCTAAATAAACCCGAAGTTTCCTTCTTTCATCGTCATGCACGATGGCTAACATACCTTACGCATGTATACCTACCTCTGAAGCAGATATGCCTGATGACAGGGGAGTTTGTCAAATAAAAATGGCCCTTGCCTGAACTTTGTTTAATCCCGGCCGGCGGCATCATGGTCAACGTTTCGATCTCGTCGATAGTCGAACACGTATCCCAAGCCTCATCTGTATCGCGGCGCTTGCAATTCCCTGTACCAGCCTGTTTAGTAACCGTTCGATGACACCTACGGGACAGGAACCTGTCTAGTAAGAGATCGGTTATTCTGACGTTGCGGGCAGTGTTCCCAAATTGTCCTTGCAGATGCTGGTAACTACGTGAACATGTTCTGGTTACAATCTTAAAAAATATCGGCAGTTTCAACATTAGACTAACTTTCTCCCAATTTCCCGCAACTTTCTGCTATGAATTCCGCTAGTTATCCTCCCCGCATATTTAGTCAGCCATCTGGCCTGTCCCATGCGAAGAAGACCCGGGCGATGGTCGTTATCGAATTGAAAAACGGTCCTGGCTGCCATCGCTGTACTTTTTAAAGCTTGGTAATTCATACCATACAACGATTACCCCTGGATAGATCCGCTGTCCAAAAGCCATTGAGAATTCAGCGGCTGTTCCCCTTCTTTCAATTCAGAAATGATGGTCCTTTTTTTCACATTTTTCCGGGCGTCATCCATCACATCGAGGATCGTTTGTTGCCCTTCAATCGTTTCAAAGTTCACATCTCGCATTTCACATCTTGCTAAACCCTTCTTCAAATTTACCGCCAAATTGACTGCGTCCTAACTCTAGCTGCTGGGTGCTACGCCTGCGGTGGCTGCAGGGCACTCCAACACCTGGTTTTTCTCTTGTCGTGTCAGAGAAAAGGAGACATGGTTTTCAAAACGTTCCCGTCAATACTGCGAGGGACTAGCAGTGGCAACATGAGCAAACCCTCGATATTCACCGATCAGAAAAGCAATACATTCCCCATAGACTACATACTAATATTTATTAATCTTTATAGAAAAGCCACTCAACAGATCTTCCCGGTAACCCATCTAACCCTGGCGATGCTTCCATCTCGTATCGACTTGCCGAAGCACTCAAACAACCTTGATCTCAAAACAAATCCAACACAAGGAGTGCTACGAAACTGCTATTTTATCCTGTCGTGGGCCTTTTTTTTAAATTTTTTTTTTTTTTAAAAAATTTTTTTCTTTGACCAATTACATGTGTCGCTGCGCTGTGGTAATTATAAAGGATGCTGTGTAAGTCCTTCATAGCTTCTACGACCCATAAGGGAGCAAAGAGTAAAATTACGAGTAAAAAAAAATCAACCGCTGAATCAACAAAAAAATTCTGTCACATTTCTGAAGATTCCGGGTACCATTTCCAAGGTTTATTTATTTCCACCAATCTCACAAATTCTTTCCAAAAATTTCAAACTTGGCGCTAACTGAGTATTAGTGGCTATCATCGTCTCTGAATGCGTATATCCAAGGAAAAAATATGGATGATAATAACATAATAATGACCGTAACCTATTCCGGGGATCGAATGGCTCAAAAGCCCCAATCTTCCTCAGCCTTTGTCCTGGCCAGGGCTTTCCCGGGCGCTTATTCACCTGCGACTAAGTTAGTTAACTACGCGGGAAGTCCGAAGGACCAAGAGAAGGCCGGCAATCCGTGTCGTGTAACTAACTAACAGCATGCACAGCGCCCAGCACGCATCACCGTTCCATTCTACTCCAAATGGGCCGGATGCTACATCGCCTCACGACAAGCAAAGGAATTTCCAACGTCGAAACCCATTAGTTAGAACTGAAAATGCCGAATTGTCATCAACCCTTGAGGAATGGTTGTAATGTAGTTACCGTTCAACTGTATCGGTGCGGTTTTGCGGTCGTGCAGGAAGCATGCAACGCGCCGGCCCGCGACCGATGAATAGCTCTCCCATTAAGACTTCGCATCCATGGATGCTGACTCGGGACCTGTGTCGTTAACTAGCTAGTTAACTTGGGAAGGGGATAAAATCCCATTATCGCCATATTCAATTCTCTCCACCCAGACCGGAACCAGAAAGAGAGAACGCGGGAGAAATCAGAAGGGAAATCAGGAAAAAACTTGCTGTTTCATATCTGAGGGCTCCCGACGTTTAATCCTTCCAGTTTTGCACTTCCATAATCTATCTCCCTCCGTACACTGGGCCACTAACAACATTTTTAAAGATCGAAGCTCGTTTTCATTGGCCTCACCCAATGAATCTTAACCCCGTTTAGACGTTTAGGTTCCCGTAAGCCTAAACCAGCCCCCAGATCAGAACAAAATATTTCTCAAGTCGCAGGCGGTGAGGTTGCGAAATACCAGAAAATTTCGAGAGGTTGGCGATGATGTTCAACAAACATCATGACAACTGCTGACACTAATATATACGGAAAGTTTCTTGCCATCCTGATCCCAGTCGTCAAATCACCGCCACGAACCCCTTTAATCCTGTGCCGATTTGCACGAAAACCTTATCCCGCGCCGATTTGCTGGGGTGGGCGGCAACATATGGGGGTACGCTCACTTTTGTGACTTCTATGAAGTGGTGCGTTAAGATTGCAAAATAACTAAAACATCCGTCGAAAAGAGACGCCACTTTACCTTTCGCAGCGTTTACCGCACCCTTTTACGAAGGCTTCAAAGATGGCGTTTCCAAATAGACGTTGTTTTGTAGTTACGCATTATACCTTCAAGGGGCATTTATCCATAGTTGATACGCCGCCCCATAGTTACGTGATAGTCAAACTGTTGCTGATTCCCCAGCGACGTTCACACGGACTAGCGTTACCATGAACAATATAAAATATATCCAACCGAAATACAAATACGAAAGCTTCCCAAATCTCACACTTCAGTTGGAGTCTCCACCTTGTTGGCGGTGTTTTGCCTGTATTTGAAGCGACGAACAGTGACGAATATACCTATTACCCACAAACGGACAGACACACACTTTTTTTTTTTTTTTCTTTCTTTTTAATTAAGGCACCTGGTTATGGTGCTCCTAGATGTAGCGGGCTGAGGAGTTGGGCATTATTAATTTTTCAACCTACAAGAAGCCTTAGCCAAAGAAAAACAACTATATATGTACCAGAATCCCTCATTAATAGCGTTGTACCGTACCCGTCCATACCGATAGAATCCAATTCCATCATACATTGTCAGCTATGCATAACTACATAAAGAGGCAAATGAATGAAAGCGAAAAAGGGAAAGGAAAATAATCGAAGCCAAGAAAACAAAACTAAAAACACATGGCAATCTTTAGAACCCAACCCAGCTCAATCCCTAAGACAACCGACTATCATCATCCTCCCCCTCACTCTCGCTCAAACTATCCCTCCTCCCCCTCCCCCCTCCCCTCCCACCGCCATCCGCACGCCGATACCCCTTCGACAAACTAGGAATGGGATGGTGATAACTCTTCGTCCCTGTCCCCGCATCAGGCTCCCCCAGACTAACCTGCTCATACATATAATCCGAACTATGCACAGACGACATATCCAGCGGCTCTGCATAGCTACCCGGCATAGAGCTGCGATCCCGCTTGCGCGGACTAGACTGACGGGAGCGCGTAGCACTTGCCCGTGGCCTGCGTGGGCGGGATGGAGGGGCTACAGAACCGCGGCGGTCACGGTTATGGCGCTTAGAGAAAGTGGAGTCAGTCAAGCGACGTTCCTCAGTGACGTTGCTGATAGTATCAACCTCCCCGGTGGTGAAGGAGAAGCCAGAGGTGTTCCGTTGCTGTTGGCGCTGCGGCTGGTGGCGATCTGGCTCACGTGAGAAATCCGGCAGCGGACCAATTTGGCTATGTGTCTGGCTCTGAGTCCACTCGCTGCCCTGGTGGCCGTTTGAAGTCGTGTAATCTGAAGTGTGATATTCACCGTCTGGTTCGCGGTTGAGTCCACCCACTCGTGCCGGTTTCTCATGTCTGTATGCGCGCATGTCCTCGTCACCACCACCTTCCCAATGCTCCTCCTTCCGCCTGCGCAGTAACTTCTGCTTCGCCGTCTCCCTGATCCCTTTGCGTTTCAACTTCTCACCAGTTATAGTAGTTGAGTCGTCGACTGTCGTGGTACCATCGCCAGTGCTATGATAATCGCTGTAACCTCTACCAACGACGCTACCGCCACCCAGATCCGTGCTCTTAGTCACATCACTGAGGGTTCTACCGTGAGAATCCTTACGGCGTAACACGGTAGATTTATACTCTTCCCAGTCACCCTTGCGCCAAACGAAGCCACCGTTTTTCGCCCAGAAAAAGAACCAAATACCAGCCAACACGAAAGCGGCGCCTAGAAGGGCAAAGAGTGCCATTAGGCCTTGCATGTTGATGTTGGCTGGGTTGACGATTCCTCGACTTGGCTCTACTGCTTTTTCCCCGCGGGTAACGAGTGTCTGGCCTAGCTCTGCCATGGGCGAAGGCGACTTGGATAGAGTGCGTTCGCGAAGTTGGGAGATCGGGAAATTGTGCGAAAGTTTGCGTTTTGAGAGAGCGGTGATGTAGTCTTCCATGGAGTCAGAGCTACCTCCGGGTTTGGGAAGAAAGGGAGGCATGGCTGTGGGATTTTTAGGTGGGGGGGGGCGCTGCAAGTTTGATATCAGGCAGAAGGTGAGATCAAGGTTCGAAGAAAAAATTGCGAGAAGAAGATGTGAAATCCCAGGCTGGGAAGATTTGTCAAGAAGATGGTTCAAGACAACATACAGGAACCACTCACTCAACGAGCCTTCGTTTCAAACCACTAACTTCCCGTCTAATTTGATTTCTCGACCCCGATTAAAGAAAGCTGAGCCCAGCCAGCTCTAGCTGGAGGTGAATCAGCAAGGGCACTCCAATCTCAGTGAGAAGCCCTTCTTCCTCCACCCATTTAGATACCGTAGTAAGAGGACGTTACTATGCGTCGATCCGAATAACGACCAAGGGCTCACCTGCTAACGAGTGATGGGTATCTTATCGACGTATGTAGCTGAAGTAAACAGAGCGGTGGTATGTGTGTACAGTGTGGCCTGCGTCAGAAGTGATGATATTTGGGCAATCCCCTTAGCAGAGAGGTATAATATCCAGCCAGCAATATAAGGAAACCGGAAAATTGGATCAAAAAGAAAAGAAAACAACCCGCCTCCACTTTGTCTGGCTCGTCTCACCAAGACTGCAGTTTTAAATTAATTGAGGCTGGGGAGTTGTCCGAAGTCGAGCAGTGGTTGTTGTTGTTGTTGTAGTTGAGGATGACCTCATTCCCGTCCCCAGCCTCCCTTTTTCGCTTTGTTTACATTGGGGCCGTTGCAGGGGACAACGATGCTTATGTCAGCCACCGCAATTCGGCAACGTGGTTTTGCGGGAGGATCCCTGTGCTAGGCTGAATACAGCTAGCGCACATTTTGAGGGTTAAGGTTGTGGATCGCGCGGGAAGAAAGTCTCCAGGCTTAGAGAAAGTATAAAAGGAGATGTCAATGGAGTCTGACTGAATACTATATCTGACATCTAATGAAGGTTCAGAAAAGGGGAATGGAATATGCCTATGAGAAACGGTGGTATAATGTTAAGAAGGCTGAAGCCAATTTGGAAATGTGCATAATCTATGTTAGCTACATTGTGGTATTTCAGCTAACCGATTCATCGGGGATTCATGCAAGGACTTTGAAAATTCACACTAAAAGTGGCTGAATATAAAAGCAAGTTGAAGCAGCTGGCCAAGGACCATTGAGAGAAAACCAAATTAGTCGCAACAAATCGCAAGCATATAATAAGGTATTAGAGTGATTGTCGAAGAGAAGAGGTGATTTGAGCCTATATTACACGCGCAAAAGACAGGAGGGAAAAGAAGACAAATAGATACAAAATACTTCGCTAGCTCGGTGTCAAAAGTTGAACACGGATAGAGTACAGCAGATGGAAAGGGCAGTTTGATGAAATGGAGAGAATAAAAAGCCAATGCGGGGAATATAGGACATGACGGGTAATATCAGAACGGGTGAAGTAAGGGGCAAAATCCAAAACTATGCTGAGAATATGGAAAGTTCTGAGACAGAAGGGATACGGGAAAGTAAATCAATATTCACAATATTCACGTAGATATAAATTCATTTGCTCGAGGCGAACGTGAAACTTTATCGTTCGCGGTTCTCATCCAGCTGTATAAGAAAGCACCAAATAACGGATGAGGAGTTTCAAGGGGTACCCCGGGATGGATATTTCGAGAATATGAAATCGGGGTAAGATGATGAAAATAATATATATATTAAAAAAAAAATGCTTTCTGCATGAGAGTGTTGTACAACAATTAAAAGAAAGAAACACAGAACTCGCATGGAAAACGATGAAAGACGAGGAAAGAAGAGGAAATCATAAAATCAAAATAAAATAAAATCAAAAAGACGATGGAAGACGAGCGGGATAAAATACAGAGACATCATAACTCATTGCAAATCATTTGAACATCGTACAAATCGTAAAAAGTAAAAAGAATAAAAATAAAAATATATTATAAAAAAACGACTCAATCTCGTACACGTATTAAAAAGTAAGAAAAAGGAACAAAAATGAATTAGTGAGGACGGGGAAGACTAAAATTCAGTATACATAAACGAGCAGAATATAAAAGAAAGGGGAAACCGGGAATCGAAGTGGAAAGGACAGCAGGAGGATATGGAAAATAACATAATACAATGAGAAACAAATAGACGAGGAGATGATGAATAGATGATGGGACAACAGTGATAAATAGCACAAACGGTAGAGGTACATACGGAAAAGATGGAGGGAAGCAGTGCAGAAAAGAGGGGTATCATGGAAGCAGTAAAGTCATAACGAGAGCAAAAGACAGCAAAAATCATTTCCCAAGTACATGTTTTCTATTTTTTTTATTTTTATTTTTATTTTTCTCTGTTCAAAACCTCAAATCGCATTCATGTTCATGCTAAAAGGGTATATCGCAAAACAATACAAGAAGGAGAAGGCAGAGGAGCATGGCGGATACATTTGGAAAATGGCCGCGAAACCAAAACCCAACACAACATTTCCTCTGGCTTTGCTTCCATAACGACTGTGTGTTCTCCACGAACATCACAAAAGAACGCCAGGATGGGGAGGGCGGGAGTTGACTCCCATAACGAGTTTCCCTTTTTTCTTTTTTTTTTTTTTTTTTTAAAAAAAAAAGGCCCTAAAGATCCAGTCCACAAAATGAACATCAATCAACATGACCAGAGTAAACGTTTCGAAAACCCTTACCCACTACAACACAATCCATCAAACAGAGGGGCCCGCTACGCATCCAACATTCCCACCCACTGTATCCAGACCGACTCGACCTCCTTCTTGCCCGATCAGACTCATTCTTCTGTCGTAGCCTTCGACTCGCATGATCCTCAATCCCCTTCCTTATCCCTCCATTACCGTCACTCAGCATTTCCGATTCAAGACAAGGTATCTCTTCGGCCTGCTGCGGCCCTCAATATTCAGCTCAAACACCCCCTCCTCGCCAGAACGCACATTGATCCGTCCATCCATGCTGTCCTTCGACAACCCGATCGTCAGCCCTCCAAACATCACCGTGATACCATCATCCTCTTGCCGACTAGCGCTGGCGCTGGTGGTAGTGCTAACCCCCAGGCCGCTCTTGGTCTTCGCATCACTGCCACGACTTCTATCTGTTGGCGTGCGCAGGCTGCCACTATCACTGTCCGCGAGGTTGCTGCGGCGTGATTTCACAAGTGTGGCTAGTGATACGGGCATCGCGCGGGAGGAGCGGGATGATTGATATTCTTCCGCCTCGCGCTGTCTCTGGTCTAGGATGTCCTTAGCTTGTGATTGCTGCTCTAGACCATAGACAGAAGAACAGCGACGGCGGCTTGTTTTCGACGGAGATGCGTGTCGGGCACTGACGCGGCTATTGTCGTTGTAGGGAAGGCGGGGCAGACGCGGGTTTTTTTCCTTGGGATGCTGGGTGGGTTGCGGGCGTGGAGGGAATGGGGTCTCGCGGGCATTTTTACGGACTGGCCTGGTGGTGTGGGAAGGGAGGGCACGGAGGGCTTTGGAGGCCGAATGCCTCCGCACGTCGGGCGGTAATGAGGGGGGAGCTGTTGAGCTTCCTTTACGGGCGG